TTGCTTGAGGGACCCGGGCTGCACTTCAGAGCAACACTACAAATACTCTCATGATCACTTTATAAATAAAGAGCAGCTTCTTGCTAAGCAATTGGGTGCTTTCAAAGGCAATTTCTTATTTTCGTGTTTTTGGTCCCATGGCACAACTGACAAAATCAGGATTGAAGCTGTACCAGAAATAAGGGCCCTTGATGTGGACACAGCAGTCTCATGTAGAGAACTTTCTAAAATAAAGTGTGAATATTTTTATTACTCCTTTGTACAATATTCTAAGAGAGACTAATGAAAGTGAAGTATTCAGGTAAAAAATTGCACTTATCTCCTGGAACCATCACATAGATGCTTTTTGCTGTCATACAAGCATGGCAATGACTACAGGAAACATGGAATGCCTTGTGCTGGAAGGCACCTTAAGGATCATCCATTCCTGCCTCCTGCCATGGGCAGGGACACCTTCCACTCTCCCTCTGGGTAAACAGTGCCAGGGCCTGACCAGCCCCACAGGGAGCAATTCCTTGTCAACGTCCCCTCCTGAGTCCATTTTTCCATTTGTAATAGAGGAGCAGCATTACCTGGCTCTATCAAGTTGAATCATGCAATGATGGAATAGTTTGGCTTGAAGAAACTTCAAGCCCATCCACTCCCACCTGCAGCCAGAGGCAGGAACATGTTTCTGTCCTGTCTGGTCTGGGAGGCTTCCAGCAATGGCCTTACATCTTCCACATCAGTAGAATTTTGCGTTATCCAAATTCCATATAATAAACTCTGCTCAAGGAAGAATTATGCATACAAGGGCCATTTGGAGGAAACTAAACACTGGGGAGGAGGATGGTAAATAAAAAAAAAGTTGGGAATAACTCTGGGCAATAATAAATGTGGTGTGAACAGCCAGGGATCTTCTAGAAAGGATCAGGTCTAACACTGCCCCTGCCCAGGTGTTGCTTTGGGGAGCCTACTGTTAGCAAGGTAAGAGAAATCAATTTACTCTTTTCCCAGGGTTTGTGGATGTGCCAGCTTCCTGTCAAACTCGCCACTCCCATACTTAGCAAAGACTGCCACCCCTTTGGCAGAGAGCCAGAGAACTTCTCCCAGTCCTGCTCCTCTCTAGAGCCCACATCACCTCAGCAGCTCCGTGGTCTGCTCTGCACACCCACTGCCCCACAAACAGGCGAGTGCATTATCCCAGAGCCTTGGGCATGGGAGAGGGTTGGTGGGAGCTCTCTTGTTAAATGCTCTTCTTTAGTTTTCCTCTCTTCTTGGAGACTTCCAAGGGAAGGAATCAGGAAGTGCTACTGTGCTGGTTTTACCTGGGGAGGACAGACCCAGAGAAAGGTTTTTTCTATGAGAACTTCTTTTGTGAGTTGATGGGACTAATTGAAGGCTGGTTTGGTTATTGACAGCCTGAGGAACTAATTGGAGAAAGTTAGTTCGCTCCATGAACACACATTTTGAAGGAGGTAACCCGGAAAAGAACTTCCTTTCTTTTCTGGCAGCAGTGCAGGTCACAGGGCCCAGCCTGGCTGCACTGCAGGCCTGGCAGAGGGGCAGGGCCCGGCCCCTGTCTGGGGAACTGGCATGGCCCGGCAGGGAGGAGGGGTGGCCATGGCAGTGACTGCTCCTGCTGAGCCAAGGGAGGCTGGTTGAGATTTTAGCCGCTCCCCTTCTTTCTCATTTCTAGCGCGGCCTGAGGTTTTCGAGATCCTGGCACAGCTCCAGCACTACAGCCTTGCTTTTTCCATGTAAAATTTTAACTCTTTTAATGCTCAGATAAGATTTGTAGAATTTTCAATCTTTTCCGGAGTGAGAAGGAAAAAATAAAAGCTAAGTTTCCTTAGATGGAAGTAGAATGAGGAGATGCTGTGAAGATGGCTGAAAATTCTTTTGTAAGATTGTAAAGTAAACTGATATTACACTGAATATTTCTATAAACCATAGAAAAAGACATGAGGGATTGGAGATATTTCATTTGATAGATCGTTAATTAAAAGCATCTGTGTTAAGAATCTTTCACCCCGAGGAGAAAAGGGGATCTCTATTTCCGGAGATGAATCATAAACAGAGAGAAAGAAAGAAAAAGAGAATTTTTGGTTTGGAACAGTTCATTCTTAAAAGTAAATACTTCATGAGTTTAACATGGCCTATAAGCACAGCTTTGGGAAAGCTGTGAAAATAGAAGGAGTTTCACAATTTATAAGTTCTTTTTCCGGGCGGATGCAAATCTTGAAAAGTGAAGCCATGAGAGAACTGGTTTTACTTCCTTCCTTGTGGAGAAATCCCTATGGCCTGACAAGAGAAAACTTCTCTCTCTGAAGTGAACTGAAAAAGGACTAGTAGTTTTTTGTATTTTTCTTGTTGTTACGAAATTTGGGAAAAAAGTGGTCTAAAAATTTTATTCTGAATTTGCTTTTCTTTCTCTTTCTTTGTGTAGTTAATAAACTTTTTCATACCCTTTTAACTTTTAAGCCTGCCTTGATCTTTTACTTCTGGTTCTGTCTCACAACAAAAAAATAAGTATATTTAAACTGGGAAATCAAAACCAAGACATTATTTAGTGCATTGACCAGGAAATTCAAATTAAACCAAGACAGCTACTAGTTGAGCACATAAAGTATTTGTCTTTGGAATGATTCGAATGGAAAGAAAGTAGGGTTAGATGGGATACTGGGAAGAAATTCCTCTGTGTGAGAGTGCTCAGGCATTGGCACTGGATGGCCCATATCCCTGGCAGTGTCCAAGACCAGGATGGACAGGGTTTGGAGCAACATAGGACAGTGGAAGGTGTCCCTCACCATGTTAGGGAGAGGAATGGGACGAGCCTTATGGACCCTTCCCACCCAAACCATTCTGGATTGCTCAGTTTACCCTCCCCAGCTCTATCCTGTAAAACCCCAGAAAAATTAAACTGAAACTTTTTGATAAAAACAAGCTGTGTCAGAAAAGAAACAGATTTCTTTCTGACCCTCAAACACCAGCTCTCCCCTTCAGACAAACAGGGTCTGTCCAAGGAGCTGGACTGGGCTGATTTCTCCATATTCTGCTGGACATTTGACCCTAACATTTCCATCCTCAGAGTGTGCTAGCTGTGTTCTCTCTGCACCATAACTGGAGCTCCCCAGCAAAGGAGGACGAGGCCAAACAAACCACAGCCCCTGCTGTTTCCTCTCCAAACAATCCCTGTAACAACCCTGTGAAACTTGTGTCCCTGGGTAATATTATTTTGAAAACTTCTTAATAATTAAATTAAGACTTTGTTACAACGTCCTGCTTAAGCTGTGCAAGGGGAAGTTTCACATAGGCATCAGGAGAAAATTCTTCACTGAAAGAGTAATTGGTCACTGGAATTGTCTCCACCACCAGAGACGTGGTGGAGGAATCATCTCTGGATGTTTTTTAAAAAAGACAGCACATGGCACTCAGCACCATGATTTAGTTGATGAGGAATGTTAGGTCACAGGTTGGAGTAGATGATCTCAAAGGCCTTTTCCAACCTACTTCATTCTGTGATTCTGTGCTATTATTTCAAGCAATTTGGCTTAATTTGTGCTGCATCTTTCCCAAGGCACAAATCCACTTGGCTTTGCTTCAAAACCTCAGC